GAGGTAATCTATGATAAAAGAGAAACTTATTATAGCATGTAAGAGGGTCTATAGGGCCAAGGACCTCAGTTATTTGTATAATAGTTTTGAGTTGAGTATCATCGAAGCCATGTTGAGGATTGTAGTCTAGATCAGAATCTGGGAGAAGTTCATTATTAAGGTTTGGATTTATAAAAAGCTAGTCTGTTGAGTTTGGGAAGAGGAGTGTTGTTTGTGGCTCATAAGAGGCTAATGATGTTGAGAATGAGGCCACATGAGAAATATCTTCTATAGCAATTACCATATGCCTGGCTTTCATGGCTCTGCAAGATTTGGAAGCCCTATGGTTAAGTATTAGAGGGCTGTCATTATCTAAATCTTCTAAGTAAATAGGCTTTACCACCCGTCTACTTACATCATTTTCTATACTAACTGCTATGGGTACATCTTTTAGTATAGTAGTGGCTGCATTTATATTATAATGTATATTAATTATAGATATATATCAATATATAACTCATTAATCGATATATATTATTATTTTTAATCGATATATATTGATTAAGTGCTATATATCGATATATATGTATATAAAAAATTTCCTGATGAATATTAAGCAAACAAAAAATATTAGTTTTTGTGAATTAGAAACTGAAAATAGTGGGGAAGTATATATAGTTAAAAATGAACCTATTCTAAAGAAAATAGTAAAACATCTGGCAAACCCAAAGTTGAAAGAAAGTTTATACAAGATAGTTAAACTATCCCAAGCACAGTTTGAAAAAAAATAAAACATAGAAGAGGAAGAACTGCTATTGCAAAAAAAAAACACTTTCTCAAGTAAAAACAAAAAAAAAAAAAAACTCTTAAAAGTTGATTTGTTACTACTTTATAATGTAGCAGATGATATATTAGCCTTACTTGCTAGTACTATAGTAGATCAGATACTCCAATATTTAAACCAAAAAAAAAATTTAATCAAGAAATTAAAATATTCAGCCATTTTGAGAAAAACTAACTTTACTAATTCTGAAAAACTCCATCATATAACTGCAACCTGATACTATATCTGCATCTGCAATAATCCAGAGTTGGCTGTATTAGATTCAAACACTGCAGTAAATATATAGCAAAAGGCTTAGTAGACCAGTTAGGGTTACAAATAAATAATAAATCTACAACTATAGTAGTAATAGCTATAGGAGCAAAAGCCAAAACACTAGGAAAAATTAAAGACATTAAAATTATAATTCAAGATGTAGTAGTTCTAGAACTACAGACATTAGAACATCAATAAATATATACTATAATATTTGATATGACATATGTGATGTGATATTTAATATGATTATATAAATTTTATATAATATAAAGAGTGATGTACTATCTCGGACTTTCCAAATATTTGCAGCTCTAAGTAGTTTTTACTATCTTATATATAATAGTGTCCTTTAATAATACCTTATTACTAGGAATGAATTGGTTCTAAAAGACCAAAGCACAAATTCATTTTGATAAAAAAAGGTGTACTTACAATATGCTAATAAAATAGCAGAGGTACAAATTTCTAATAGTAGTATTTAGGGTATTACACCAAAGAAAGATGATGAGATATATAGTAACAGTGAAGACACTTTTGACAAATTCGACTTAAAAGAAGATGAATTCGATAAATTAGAAAAAAAAGAGCATGAAAATTGACTTCTAGATTGTCAGGAATGTCTAGCACTATGTCTTACTAATATTGAAGAAGTATCTACCAAAAAAAATGATGAAGAAGAGAAAGAAAAGTCTCTAGAAAAAGAACTCTAAAAAAAGATTAATAATAATGAATTAACTATAGAACAACAATTAAAAGCTCAAATATTTTTATTTATGAAAAGAGAAATATTTGCACAAGGTCTTAAAGAATTAGACTATACTAGTGCTATCACTTATAGCATTGTTACAGGTGATGCCACCTCAATTAAGTAAAGATATTATAGAACTGTCTATGAAGAAAATGAACTTATTAAAAAGGAAATTAACAAATTAAAGAAACAAGAACTCATTTTAGAAGTCAACAGCCCCTGGGCCTCTTTAGTGGTTATAGTTTCTAAAAAGAATAGAAAACTACAATTCTGTATAGATTACCAAAAACTCAATTCAGTAACAAAAAAGGATACATATCTGCTTCCTCATATCAATGATATATTTGAAAAGGCCAAATAGTTATTCACTCTAGATTTAACAAGTAGATATTGGCAAGTTGGAATAAGTGAAAAATATATAGAAAAAACAACATTTATAGTATTTACATCTTTAAAGTAATGCTGTTTAGTCTTTGTAATCTTCCAGGAATCTTTTAAATATTAATAAATACAGTACTGGAATACAGTATTGGGGACTTCACTGTAGTATATCTGGATGATATAAACATTTATTTGAGTTCTTTTAAAAAATATTTAGAACACTTAAAATATGTCTTTAATAAATTAAAACAAGCAAAATTAAAATTAAATCCAGAAAAATATACCTTTTTTAAATCTGAGATTAATTATCTGGGACATATAATAAATAAGAAAAGGGTAAGACCTAACAAGTCAAAAACAGAAAAAGTAAAGAATTTTTCATACTAAAAAATATTTGCCAATTAAGAGGATTTATTGGCTTGGGTCTTATTATTATTGTTTTATAAAAGGTTTTGCTATGATAGCCTGATTACTTCATAAACTGATGTTTTCTACAACTAGGAAGAAAATCAGCAAATTGCCTTTGAAATATTAAAAAGATATTTGATAATTGCACCTATTTTAAGATACCTGGATTTTAAAGAAATGGTTTACTTATATACCGATGTGTCTAGTATAGGATTAAGAGCTGTTTTAGCTCAAAAAGATAAAGACCACAAAGAATATGTGGTAGTATATGCTAGTTGGGGTCTTTCTAGAACTGAAAGAAATTATTTCGCTTTAGAAGTAGAGTTTTTAGTCATTGTTTGAGCTATTGAACACTTTCACTATTATCTAGAAGCAAAATATTTTATATTAATTACTGATCATATTGCTTTAAAATGGTTACATATCTTAGAACCCAAAGGAAAAAAAGCTCAATAGATTTTAAAATTACAACTCTATAATTACTCTATTATACACAAGGCCAGTAAAAAACATTCAAATGTAGATGCATTATCCTGAATATATCTATCAAAAAAACAGACAAAATAAATTAAAGATTTAGAAAAAAAAAGATAATTTAAAACTTTCTTATTAAAATCCGACTTTAAAAGTAATCCAGTCTAGGTAGTTGATGTCTTGGCAAATCTAAAAGATGGAACCACTTAAATATTAATTGTTAAAAATATACTTAAGAGAATATACATTACTTCATACTTTAACTCCACAAGAATGATGAAGTATACAAACTTAAAGTCAATTCTTCATAGTAAAGAGTAGTTTAATTTACAAGAAAGATAAACATAAGGTTAATCATTTATTAAAGGTTATTCAAAAATATAAAGTAGAACTGATTTTATTTTTAATCCACACTCACCTATTGGGTAGACATTTTAGAAATAATATAATGTTTAATAAAATCTGAAAAAAATATTATTGACTACAAATGTATACTAATATATGAAGATTCATTTATACCTATAATAATGTTAAAAAAGAGGCAAAAATTTAGCAAGGTCTCCTTTATATCCAATACCTGTTGAAGCTCCATTTTTTAAAATCAAAATTGATATCATAAAACCCTTATCTATAACTCTAAGAGAAAATAGATATATAGTAGTTGCAACAAACTACATGGCTAAGTAGCCCAAAGCTCAAGCAACCAAGAATACAAATGCTCAAGAGGTGGCAGACTTTATATATAAGAACATAGTATGTTGCTATAAATGTTCAATATCTACTATCAGATAGGGGAATACATTTTCAAAATAATTTAGTAAATGAATTTTTTAAGAAATTCACTATTAATCACCATTATTTGATATCTTATTATCTACAAACAAATAGATTAGTAGAGTGTTTTAATAGAACCTTTTGTGAGTCTATATCTAAGTTAGTGACCAATGTAAAGGAATAGAACTTATTAATACCTTTGGTACTCTTCACTTACTATACTGCTAAGCAGAATACAATGAAAATAAAACTCTTTTTCTTAGTGTATATTAGAGAAGCAAGGTTTTCAATTTATCCTAGTAAAACTGAAAAATAAATATTAGAAGAGACATTCTTACAAAGACTTTTTGAGTTAATAGAAGTATTATCTCAAGTAAAAAATAATGCTATAAAATGAATTAAAAGAGTACAAGAAATTACTAAGAAGAAATATGATAGTAATTTACTTTCTATAGAAGAATTAAAAAGAAGAGATCTAGTATTAGTATACAAGGCTTCTCAACAATATTCAAAAAGCTATAAACTTTATTTGAAGTGAAAAGAGCCTTTTGTAGTATATAAAGCACTTCAAAAAGGCATTTATAAATTATATACCATTGAAGGTAATATAATAAAAGCACCTATAAATAGAAAAATTACTAAAACAATACTATTCTAAATAAGAAAATAGAAAAGGGTTAAAAGTGAAAAAAGAAATAAATTAATTAAAATTACTATTTTATATGTAGCAACAATATGTTATAATAACATAATGATCATCATGAACAATATAATTCAATATGTTTAAAGCTTGTAAATTTATAATTATTATTATTAATAATAAAAAAAAAATTTTTTTATATAAAAAATATATTACAAAAAGTGAATTAGGTTCTCTGCCTATAATTTGCATAAGTTGCATAAAAAATGATTAGGTTTTCTGTCTGTAATTTGTATAAGTTACATGAAAAGTGATTTAGGTTCTTTGCCTATAATTCACATAAGTTGCATAAAAAGTAATTTAGGTTCTCTGCCTGTAATTCACATAAGTTGTATAAAAAATGATTTAGGTTCTCTGAAGTTGCATGAAAAGTAATTTAGGTTCTCTGCCTGTAATTTGCATAAGTTGTATAAAAAGTGATTTAGGTTCTCTGCCTGTAATTTATATAAGTTGTGTGAAAAGTGATTTAGATTTTCTGTCTGTAATTTGTGTAATAAGCCTAGTACTGGCTGGGTTCACTACCAAGAATAAATACTACATGAAATTGGGACCTGATGAATAAAATGCGATAAAAACATTAGGTTTAAAGAAAATTATACTAATAAGAAAATATAAATATATATATTTGTAAAATTTTATTGAACCAGAGCCTTTCATTAAAAAAATAATGATTCTTCATAGAGAATCTATAATTATTAGATTTCATTTTACAGAATTGACAATAAAAGATATTCTGAATCAACTCTTTCTAAAGGAAATAATGATGTTCTGACACAATTTATTTTTTGTATAATTTCTCTAGAAAAACCAAAGTCTTATAATACTAAAAATGAAAATTAAGATATTCTTTCAATTTATCATCAAATTTAGAATTTTTGAATCACACAAGAAGCCTCTTTAAAATTGTTAATTCTTCTGTAGCAATCAAAACCTTATCCAGTTCCAAAGAAAATCTTGCAGATTTTGTTGAAAGAGTTTGACAGTTATATAGTAGTTAGCATAAATATATAGATTGATTCCAAACATAGCAAGAAAGAAATACTTGATAATATTTTAATATGTCAATAATAGAAGTTATTATAAGCACTTAAAAAAATTTTTTTTCACAAACCTTACTTGAAAAACTAAAAATTGCTAAAGGATATTTAATCTAATTTAGTTTTAATTCAAGAAACAGAATCTCTTTATACAAATTTTTGTAGTAGTAATACTTTGCAAAATGGAGATACTAACAAAAATCTGTGATCTTATATCTCACATCTACGAAAGTCTAAAAAGATATATAAGAATGATTCAGATAGAGGTAATTACAGAGTCTTGCTGTAAATTACTCTAGAATTTCTATTGAGACAAAAGGTTATATTAGTTATGGCTTCAGAGTCATTATGAAGAAATATCTACTAGATAAAGACCTTTCAATAGTTATCAATTTGATGATACACTTGCAGTAAAGAATTGTTTTAGATTGTAGTCTAAATTTGCATCTAGAACTCTAAATAGCTACATTGAATTAGCTAAATAATGTATGGGTTCTGATCTACAAAACTAATCTACTGTTTAAGAAGTTTGGAATAAAAATTACAGAGTTATCAAGATGATAAGAAGAATTTTCATCATAGATTATGCGAACCAAGTGCTGTTGTACTTTAAAAAATTATCAAGTCATTCAAGAAATCTTAAAGATTTATACATAGAATATTAGATATTAAAAGATTTAATTCCTAATAAGAGAAAAGTTCAGATAAGTAAAATTTGATTAAGTATTGCAAAAATATATAGAATTGAAACATCATACAAACTATAAATAAATATTGTACTAAACATATAGTTTTAAATCTAATTTAGCATTATAAGTAAACTAATTTCAATAAATAATTTAGATCCAAATTAAGAAAATATAATTCTAAAAGAATTATATAAAGAGAAAGAGTAGTATATAAAGAGTATTTTTTTTTCAATATAATTTTCACAATATTGTTAGATTATTAACAAAATCTTAAGACTTTGACTCAATAGTCAAATATAAGTTTAATTTTTAGATATAAATAAAAAACAAGATCTAGAAGTAAAAAAGAAGTACTTCAAGAATAAAATTAGTAGCAAATGAATATATGTATCAACAAGACAAAGAAAGAAATTTATTTAAAGAAATTTTAAGTACTACTATTGCCAACTTAATCTAACAACATCTCTAAACTACTACTAATATTTCCATCTTCATTCTCTGAGTCTTCTTTACTACTGGCTGATTCTTCTTTTAACAAAGCTTTATAGATTTTTCAAGATTGTTTTTATTCTTCTCCTATACTTCTATAGTTTTTTCTTTTTCCTCTTCTTTATCAAATTCCTCTAAATCATATTTGATTCTTATTCTCTGTTGATCTTTATTAGTCTCCGCTCTAATGTCCATTATACCCAATAACTCATGCATATCTCTCCTTAATATATTATTCTCTAACTCAAATGACTTCTTTGCTGCACTCAACTTTCTATATCTTCTATTTACCACTTTCAATATATCTTCTAACAAAATTTTATTTAAACTTCTATCTGTTCATTCCTTTTCTAACTTTTCTTGCAAAATTTTATTTTTTCTTAATTTTCTAATATAATCTTTTACCCTGTATTACAAATTCAATTTTAATTTAACAATCTAATATATCTATAGATTAAAAATTTACTATTACTTGTTTTTTAATCTATTGTTAACCTTCTCAACAACTTCTCTTTGTTTTCCCTTATCTACTTTCTTACTATTAATGAAAATTTTTTTTAGTTATTATAATTTTTAATTTAATTTAAATATAATTTTTACTTTTGGTATTTAGAATATCAGTTATTGTTTCCTTTTTGACTATGAGGTATATTGTTATTAATTTTTCTGAAAAAGATTTTTTTATTTATTAAAAAATTTGTTAATAAATCAAAATTTTTTTTACAACAATAATCAAACAATTAATTTAAAGTTTAAGTCATGAGAAAAGAAAATTTACAATTATATAATCAGGATATATAAGTTATATTCTTAAGGAGTCAATTTTTGAAATTTGGTAATTATTTTGATGTAGACTACTGGCTAGAATATCATTCTGACAACAGAGTAACCTAGGTTCGAAACTAGTAAGGGGAGCTATCCTTTCTAAAGTACTAATCTCATATAGAAAATGTGATAACTACTCATAGAGATGAAATATTGGAATAAAAATTTTTTTTGTTGTTTTTGTTTTGTTTATTAGTTATTATTAGTATTTATTTATACAGTATATTTTGGTTTAAAATTAAATAAGTATTTATATATAGTATGCATAAAATAGGTGTGGGCAAGTGTTATGAGCTAAAAGTAAATCTATGTATCTGGTGCAGTAAACTCATAGCTAAAAGGGATTTACTACAAGAATTCCAGATTAACTACTATATAAGGCTTACCTGCCATTAATAGGAATAATAACTAATATGAAATCTGAAAAAAAATTTCTAGAAGAATAACTAAAAATCAAGCAAGAAGATCTTGAAGATAAGTGAAGTAAAGACTTCATTAGAAGAAATTATTTTTTTAATTATTATAAGCCTTTTGATATATAATAGCTTCAATATTATTCTTTAATTTATATATAATGTAAATTATCATTAAGCCCTTTAAGCTTATTAGAATAGAATAAACTATAAAAGTGCTAAGAGTTTGTATTAGTTAAAGAATTTCCTCTAGGATTCCAATAATTATTCATAATATCTTTAATAACTTATCCTGATAATTTCTTTAATAAATTATATTATTATCAAATTACCAATGTCACGGCTCTGGCAAGTGCCTTATCATATAAATTATATAAATTAATAAAACTTTATAATTCACACTGTATTAATAGTAAGACATGACTTGTTTTTTTATATTCTTTAGCAGTATCACTTTTAGTTATAAGTGTTTTATTTAGTTTAAAACAAAAATAAAGATCTGTTTCATTAGTATTAAGAATAATATTAGAATAATAATTTTTAAATAATTCTTGAAAATAATATTATTTACTTTTAATTGCAGTTTTATAAGCTAATTCACTTTTTTTAAATATCTTTATTAAAATTTAAATACTCAACTATTAGATATCCCAAATATAGTTAAAAATATTACATCACTATTTTTAATTGTTTATATATTAAAAGTACTTTTGATTTAAGCAAATTTTATAAAACAAAAATATTATAAGAATATAGTTCTAAAAATAACTTATAAGCAATATATATAAAATATAAATTTTTTAATTTAAATTTATTATACTTTTTATTTTTAATTTCTAATTTAATTATACTAATATTGCATAATCAAAATTTTTTTATACTATATAAAAGAGAATGCTTATTTTCACTATAATAATTTGCTATTTCCACTATGAGTTATACAAAGATTTACAAGATTTTTTATTTTTAGTATTTATATAGTAAAAATTAGTTTTTTTAAAAATTAAAAAAATTTTTAATAAGATATAGCAACTTAGTAAAATAGTAAAGTGTTGTACTCCTCAAGTTAGCTTGACTACAGTTCCAAGTTCAAATCTTACTAGTAATATTTTAGATAAAAATACCTGTATTATAATAATAAATTTCTTAAATTGGGTTGGGTTTATAACCTGTTACTGGAATCACACTGATGCCTCTAGGTGTTGAAAGCTTCTGGAAGCATTCATGTCATTACATGAAGGAATACAAACTAGCATATATAGCACAAACCTATAATAAGCCTCCTAAGAATCAAAAAATATTAAAATATTTATACACAAAATCTAGAGGTCTGAAACCAGCTTGGAGAACCTCAAGTCTTGGGAAAGTTCCAAATAAAGATTAGTGGCTTTTGTTTGTGCTTAGGAGCAGTTCAAAAATAAAATTTAAATGACAAAGATCTTTAGACAAATAGATCTACCAATCAGACCACCAGAGTCTCTAGAGCTGCACTAGATATATATTCATTGGTTACTTTAATACTGGGTATCTAGTAGAAGAACCTAGAATAAGATCTTAAAAGAAAAAAACTTGTATTACAAAAGCTTATACCAAGGATCAGGAAATATTCAGATCTGAGGTTGGGACTCTTAGGTTTGTATAGACCAACCCTCCTGGGCTATCTGGATTAGAAACCTGAAGACCAAAATATGAAGCACATTCTTGGATACAATGTTGTAAAGACTATAGAGTGATAGTATATGCTTTGCAAATTGTTTTAATAAATTGTCTAGTAGGGATTTTGACAAAATATTCTTTTCATAGTATATTAGAGTATAGATTATAAAAATTAGTTTAGTTGAAGTATAAAATTAAGAAGGAGGAGTAGTTGTTAGCAAATAAGTTTGCAAGATTGTTAAAGAGATTGTCAAAATGTGCTTGAACTTTATAAAAGAAAATTTGTATATTAAGGGCTTTTAAAATATTAAAAAAGTATGTACTTAATAGCCAGAAGTTAAATTTAAAATATTTAGAGAAGTATGGTGATATGAATAGAAACTTGTTATATTTAAAAATAATAGATTATGAGTCTGTAAATATTTTAATATTAGAGTTTTAGAAAGTATTGAAATAGCAAATAGTATTGCTAGTAGTTCAGCTTTATAAGAAGAAAGCTAGTTAAAAATCTGTATAAAAAAATTATAGATAACGTGGTTGTTATGAACTTGAATCTAGCTAATATCTATTAAGTAATAATTAGTGCTAAGTTGTTTAACTAAACCATCTATGTAGAAGATAAATTGGTTTTGAAATAAGTTAGCAGAGGCAAGTTGTAGAGAGGTGTCATTGTTTTAAAAAATAGTTAAAATAATAGTCAGTAATATTAATAATAGATAAAGTAGTATATT